CAGAACCACAGATTTCTCACTATTTCCACTGAAGAATCAATTTAGTTAGCTGTGGAAGAATGTCTGTTTACCACTGAATGTCTAATTCTAGTTTTATTTTTTAAGGCAAGAGAAGTTCTCTAACAAAAAGATGAATACTATCATCTTAACAGACATCCCAACTATTCCTTTAGTACCACTATAATTTATATAAAACCAAAACCAAACCCCCTGCCATTAAGTTGATTTTGACTCATAGCGACTCTATAGGACACAGTGGAACTGCCCTTTCGGGTTTCCAAGGCTGTAAATCTTGATGGAAGCAGGCTGCCTCATCGTTCCCCTGCAATGTGGTTGGATTTGAACTACTGACCCTTTGGTTAGCAGCCCAATGCTTTAATCAACCACTGCAATAAATTATTTGACAAGGATTTCTCAAGACTCACATGTTTCCACCTTTTAAACTTGTTTTCTACTTTCTTCCAGAGACAAGTTAAAATGATGTACCTGAATCGTATTTCAGAATTGTTAATGGCATTGAAGTTGTACACCTCTTGCATTCGCTTTACGTGCCCCAATGGAAGAGGTGCCTAAGAGCAAAATAAAGAAGCAAAATGTATCATTTCAACGGGATTCCTTGGAAGAAAGGAGCTGGATAAGCAAAGGGATAATTTAATCTGTGAGTTACTCAGAGAATTAAATGAGAATACTGTGTTTACTACTCTCCTCAGGCTTGTCAGTACATGTAAACATTAACTTTCAGACCCTTTGCAGAGTCTTTCAAGTTCTCCCTTATACTTTATCCAACTTAAATTTATTTCCATTCTCCAGATTAAATCACAGTTCCTTTAATTTTTTCCTTATTGATTTTCCTCACTTTTATCTTTGTGTATTTCTTCTAAAATCCCCTTTAAATAATCTACATCTCTACAAAAAAGGAACTTTTAAACATTTTATTATAGAAAGGGTGGGATATGATATATGTTTGAAAAGGACTTCTGTAATGATGAATAATTGCATAATAATTACATTGCACACCAGTTCATATTATGTTTTTGCTCTGAGAATCAATGCAAAATGAGGAACAGGATTTTAAGGCAATAGGAGCCCTGTCGGAGTCAGAGAGAATCAATGTTTGTGAATCAGGTCATCACAGTTTGAGAATCTGATGAATATGGATTCTTTCCTTAGAAAGGAATATATATATATATATTTTAAAAAATATATTTGCCACATAAGCACAAACTTTTTGTATATAATCTCAGGGGGTTTATGAATGTCCTATGCCCATCTTAACCCATGCTAAATAGGAGAACAAGTTTGGGTGAAGGAAAGAAAGATGAGTTTAGTTTGGACCAAGTAGAGAGTCTGAGGTACATTTAGTGTACAGGTGGAAGTGCCCCTAAGCAGATGTCAACTCCCCGCTCCAGCCATGACCTCCTTACTGCACAACACACTTACCCGACACTAACTAATCATCTCTGGTTAACTGCTTCCCAAATTATTCACTCTATAAGCCCCTGACGGGCACACCCAACTCCAAGCCTACCATGGTAGGACAGCCAGGTAAGGCCACATTCTAGGTTGCCCTAGGAGTACACCATGTCATTCCTAAGTCATCCTCACCATGGTTTCTTCTCTTCCTGCTCCAAGGCCCCAGAACAGTGCTATAGAAATTAAACTGTGATAATCTGA